CAGTTATTTACCATGAAGTTCCTTCATTCTAAGTGTCCAAACACTGTTCAGAATTGCTCATTTATTTCCTACAAACTATTTGCCTAATTCATTAACAATGATTGTGAAAGAAGAAATTTTCCCCATTGCTAACTTGGATTCATAAAGTACCAACATGGCATATGGTATTACATGAACATTAAATAATAACATGCTCTGCTCTGCTTACCAAATTAAATCCATTTCTAAATGGAGCATATGTAGTGTGATATGGCTGCCTATAATAAGCAAATTATCTTAGTATTTAAATTTGTGTTTTCTATTACATAAAATTTATGGAATGAAATCTATGGAAGAATGGAAATAAAATTTGGACTATGGATGAAATTTTTTAAAAATATTTAGCTATTTATATGTAATGATCACATAAACTACTGGTTCTATTAGCTGTGATATTTTAATCAAGTTACTTAAATTCTCTTTCTTTCTTTATTCATGAAATGGACTGAATATTAACATCTACCCCATAGATTTGTAATGAGATAAATAATTCACAAATATAAAATACAAAGAATAGTACCTTGTATGGAATAAGTGCTTAATAGTTAGATATAATTAATATTTATTTTGCATACTGTTAAGCTTCCCACAGGTATAACACAAATATCCATTATTTATTTTACATGATAATTGTTTCTTACTCCTCCCCATTTTGTGTAAAAACAAACAAAAATGGATGCAACCAAAATAAAAGTGATTACAACATCAATTTTGTTGATATTTCACATACTCCCATGAGCCTTTCTTGGTGAGAACTAGAAGCAAAGAAAAAGAATTATCTAAGTCACTGAAATATCTCTATGCAAAAACAGTTGTCTTTGACCATATTACTCCTACTTTACAGACATTTCCTAGATAATTCTGTTTTGCTGCTTCTAAGTGTACAGTTAATGAGGGTAGACTGTCTTCAAACACTCCATGTTGCAAGAGCTGTGCCAGAAACCTCACATAGGCGATTTTATTTAATCTTTATAACTCACAGTAAGAAGGGTATCAGTTTTCTATTACTGTAATTAATTACCACAAATTTGGTCACTTCAAGCAATATATATTTATTATTCTAGGGCTTTAATGTTTAGAAACTCAAAACCAGATTAAAATCCAGGTAGGGGCAGGCCTGTGTTCCATGTCTAGTGGTTCTAGGGAAGCGTGTGTTTCCCTGAATGTTCCAGCTCGAGGCAGCCTTCAGTCCTTGGCTTGTGGTCCTCCTTCACAGTATCATTCCAGCCCAGCTTCTGTCCTTACCTCCCCCTAATTCTATATATTTGGACTATGGATGAAATATTTGTATCGCTCCCAGACTCCTAGCTGGAGTCTTCATTTCCATCTTTATATTGTCTCTTCCTCCCGATCACCATAAGAAACTGATAAGATCTCTTTTGACCCTGAATTGTATTATATCAATTCCAAGTTACAATATTTTAATAATTAATTTTTTGTGAAAGATTTAGTCATTTCTTTGAAAGACAGAGTTACAGAGACAAAGTGGGGGGAGAGATAGAGAGAGAGAGAGAGACTTCCATCCATTGGTTCTTTCCCCAGATGGCCTCAGCAGCCGGGTCTGGCCAGGCTGAAGCCAGGAGCCTGGAGCTTCCTCTGGGTCTCCCTTGTGGGTACAGGGGCCCAAGATCTTGGGCCATTTTCTGCTACTTTCCTAGGCACATTAGCAGGGAGCTGGATCAGAAGTGGATCAGCTGTGATTTGGACCAGTGTCCATATGCAATGCTGGCATCTCAGGTGGCAGTTTTATCTGCTATGTCACAATGTCAGACCCCTTAACAAATTCTTAATGCACTTTTGATAAAAACCCAAACATTTTATGCTAAATTGGATTATCAAAACCATGTTCTATTGGGATATCCACAGCATAACTAATAAATCTGTCCCATTTGGATAATAAATTTCATAGTCCCCATATAGTCCCCATACCCATATTGGTATTGGCCTCTGTGACCCATTCTTTGCTTAAATAGACATTTATAGCCAAAGTTTTCTCCCACTTAGTGGGTTCTCTTCTTAGTTCTGCACTATAATTTAATTTCTTCAAATTCCAAACCAGAATATTTAATTCTATAATTAGTTGTTTTCATCACGGTGTACAGAGAGAAACAGGCTCATGTGGATATTGTTTAACCTTTTCTATCCCCCGTTAGCATAGATTCAGGTATATGGTAGATGTCCATACACAGTTGTTGAGGAATTAATTACTAAATAAATGTGCTTTATAGTCAGCAAGATGTAAACACATTGTGTGAATTTAAATAATAAAAGTGTGTTCAAGATATTAACTATCAAAGTTAATACAGACGTAGAAGAGGTTACTTCTGCCCGGGAAGAAGAATTGACTAGGGAAGGCTCTCTAAAGGGAGAAGCCCAGTTAGTGCTACTAGATGAAGAAGGCCAGGTTATGTGAATCAGGAAGCTTTCAGGGGCAGGCATTTGACGTAGTGGTCAAGGTTAAGTTGAATTACCAGCATCCTATATTGCAACACTTGGGTTCCATCCCCGGCTCTGGCTCCTTACACGAGCTTTTTGTTAATGCAACAGCAATAACTCAATTGATTGGGTCCCTGCCACTCAATTAGGAGACCTAGATTAAATTCCCAGGTCCTGGCTTGGGCCTGTCACAGCCTCAGTTGTCATTTGGAGAATGAAGTAGCAGAATGAAGCTGTCTCTTCTGTCTGCCTCTCAAATAAATAAATAAAGTTTACAATAAGGAACTGTGGCAAACGACTTCTAAGCAGAGAGGATGGCATTTTCAAGGTAAAATGGTGCAAAACAAGATGATTATTCAATACATTCAAAAGTTTCTATAATTAGCATGTAGAGTGCTGCATAAATGATATATTAATGTCATAATCCATAAGGACAAAACCTAATTGTGAAGGAAATAACAGAATACACAGATAGCTAAAAACTTTGAAGTTTAGCTTTGTTTTTAGTTTCAGTGCTAGGATGACTTTAAAATTCCTATTGCATGTTTAGCTCACCTTATAAATTATAGAAGTTCTCAGATAAAATAAATCAGCCTTTGAACAGTTACATTTCAAATTTAATAACTATAAAGAATATTCACGGTTGAGAGTTTGTCACATAATATTCACAAAATCATAATACAGAGTCCACAAGGAAATTAAATTAAGATGTACAGGATATAGAACTATACTGGGACTGTCAAGTAATTTTTTGGGTTTACATTTTAAGATGAACATGAAATTTCTCTTTGTGATAACATATCTTTTTTTTTTTTTTAATTTTTGACAGGCAGAGTGGACAGTGAGAGAGAGAGACAGAGAGAAAGGTCTTCCTTTGCCGTTGGTTCACCCTCCAATGGCCGCCGCTGCAGCCGGCGCACCGCGCTGATCCGATGGCAGGAACCAGGAGCCAGGTGCTTTTCCTGGTCTCCCATGGGGTGCAGGGCCCAAGCACCTGGGCCATCCTCCACTGCACTCCCTGGCCATAGCAGAGAGCTGGCCTGGAAGAGGGGCAACCAGGACAGAATCCGGCGCCCTGACCGGGACTAGAACCCGGTGTGCCGGCGCCGCAAGGTGGAGGATTAGCCTATTGAGCCACGGCGCCGGCTTTGTGATAACATATCTTTACTCAGTAAGAGATTATAAAAGTAAATAGGCCCAAACCACTGGGTAAACATTTTGAAACTTATGTTATACAAATGTAAAGGTGAAAATTATCAATCGAATGTATAAAATGTCAGATCATATATTGATTGAACGAACAGCTGATACAGTAAATTAAAACTAATTACAGCCTATTTATCTTTGAAGAGAAAATTTTCAGAAATATTCTCAGAGCATGTAATCATAAATGGTATCTTTGAATGTAAAGAATGTTTTTCAGAGGTTACACAATGATGGGCTACAAAACATGGATTCTTTTGAGGCCCTAGTGCTTCAAAAGTTTGAGCTAAGAGTTAAGTTGGAAGAATTCACACAAAAATCCATAATTCTATCCCTCTTGAAAAGTGGGAATATCAGATAACCCTGGTAATACTCCTCAAGCCACAGTGCCTGAGAGGAAATTAGATGTTTTCTATGTCACCACAGAGCCATCTCCCCCATTGCACCAGACCACTTGTCTCATGTGTGTTGCATGTCTGAGTCCTGTGTCATACCCAAAGCCCAATCATTAAAAATGAATGGAAAACATTGAAATGTCTAGGGAAATGTTTAGACTTTGACCATTTGTAATAGTAAGAGTTAAGCACACAGGGCATTGTAACAAAATCATCTAAAAATGCAATGATTAAGAATTCAACCTTCTTTTTTATTGGTTGTGTTTGTTAACCAGACTATACTAAAATGAAGAAAAAGTCAAGAAATCTAATATGTATAGGCATTTTCCTCTATGACTAGTAAGCTACGTGTTTTGGCCTATAGCTTCAATGACAAAGTACGGTAATCCAAAAGCTTCTAAGTACAGCTGACTTCTGTATCTACATGGTTCTACTTCTAGGGCTTCAACCAACTGTGGATTTAAAATCCTTGAAAAAAATATGCATCTTTGCTGAACTTGTACAGACTACTTTGTTGTCATTATCACCTAAAAATACAATATTACAATACTTACAGAGTACTTACAGTTTATTATGCATCATAAGCAATTTAGAGCTGATTTAAAGTACAGAGATAGGATGTGCACAGACTGCATGCAAATGTTCAGACTATTCTGTTTTATATAAAGGACTCAAACATCTAAAATTCTGATATCCATAGGGGTCCAGGAATTCCCACAATAACCTCTAATGGATACCTAAGGATGCTTGTATAGCATGTATTTTATCTGTCATTTGTATGTCAGTAACTCTCTATACGTATCTTTCAATATAGCAAAAACAGGCTATTTTGTTGATTGAAAGACTTGACATGCTTTCTGTATCTAAACTGTTCTAGATTAGAATAACCAGAGAAATTTCACTTACACAGGGAATGACAGCACTTACCTTAGCTATCTGGACACACCAGTTAAGCAGCAGCTGTGAGCCAATGTTATCCTTGTGTTCATGAACATAATCCAATAGGCAGCCATGGGGCATAAGTTGGGTAACCAGCTGGATGGTTGGGCTCAGACACACACCTAGTAACCGGACTAGGTGTGGATGGTCCATACTTGCCATTATCAGAGCTTCCTACAAAAAAAAAAAAAATATATATATATATAGTATTGTCATCTCAACTCAACATTATTTACACTTATAGTTCTTCAATTGTATTCATGGTATGATAATCATTTTGAAGATGAACTCTCACTAAATGAAATAAATTTAAAATAGACACTGTTTTCACTATTCAGTCCTTAAAGTTATGCAATTCAATGAAATTAAATAAAAATACATACATTCACTAACATGGAAGCAAATATTGAACAATTCTCTATAAAATTAATAGCATTTCTCTTTTATAATATGAAGAATATTTTATTTATTTACTGTCAAGTAAACTGAAACTAGTCCTAATTTGTGCTGTGGATTTTTAACCTTTGATATTGGTTCTAGAGTACAATAATGTATACAATACGGATATTTGGAAGTAGTTATTTGGTATTGGTGTTATTGATACAGAATTGTATACAGTGATGTAAAATATAAAAATTTCAACATAAAGAATTATACTCAGGATGCTTATTGTTAATTTAAATAGGATAAATATTTCAATAAGATACTTCATTCCATAATTTTACCTTTATTCAAATTCATTTCATCTGTAAAATATAAGTGATGTATTCCTCATAGATTCATAAAATTTGAGGGCAGGTGAGACTATAAAACTTTGTCTACTCCAACTTTCTCATTTATTGAAATGAGAAAAATGAGTCTGAGTTTCTTTATCACTTTGCTGAATACAGATAAGAAGTGGACATCTGCTGGGTTTTTGTGTACCCTAACATTTGCCTCCAGTAATTTAAGTGTCTTTTCTACAGTTTGAGACAAGCATAATCAAAAATGGTATGCTTATGCATTTTGTTATAGTTTGATATGTACAAATAAAGCAACGTTCATCTCTTATTAAAATAGTAATAAAATTTTGCTTTTATGAAGTCACACAGAATCACTTACATAGTATTTCTGTCACTATTTCATTTGACTGTAACCACAATTAGAGAAATCCACACTGTAGCACATTTTGCAAAGAAGCAGTCCTGAACTCACTAAAAATGTCAACATGATAAGACACATAAAAAAGTGTGTGATGATAAAGTTAAAATTCATTACAGAGATAAAGCCATGCTGGATCTATGGAAACATCTATTCAGTTTCAATGCCATAATTTTATGTTAAATATTAGATATCTATTAAACTTATACTGAATTTACTCTGTTTCTTTTTTGGTAGCTCTCAGTTTGTGTGTGTGTGTGTGTGTGTGTCTATCACTTGCACTTATCATTACAAGTGTTACTTTTGTGACCCCATACTCAGGGTGTCAGGTACACAAGTGAAATTTAGGAGCCTCCATTTACAACAAGAACTCTAGGTAAAGCCACTAGGAAATAAGAGCTTTGAGAACCTGTGGCCCATATTAATGTCTGCATCAAATATCTCAGTAATCCAATGCAAAAGCAATAACACACAACAGTGTTAGACCCTTGTTATAACCATATGAAGCAGTCTAAGAACATAGTAGTTCTCAACTCTGAAATGAAGAAATGAGGGCTTATTGGGACTACAGCCCCAGGTCATATGACCAGTCAGTAGCAGAATCAATCTTAAAACTCAGGATTTTTGATTCTTAGTGAAAGGTTAGTTCCTATGATAGTAAAAACATCATAATTTTTATGTCACTTCCAATAACACTCCACACTAGACATTCATATTATTAAGAAGACAGACTTAAGCACTTCATAGGAGCCCACCTGAATGAATTGGGCCCATTATACTTTAGTTCTTGCAGACAAATAAAAAAAAACAACACACTTGTGTTTACAGGGAAGTTCTCTTCACATAGAATGTGCTTTGAGAAAAACCATAGAAAATTTATTTCTTTGATTTACTAAGGCTAGTACTTGATATGTGTCATTTCCTAAGGAAAAAGAGAGTGATGGAATTTAAGATAGAAAAAAAGATTTTGAGGTGATTGCAGCCTTCTTTTTCAGGATAAAACATGTAAAGCATTATAAAAGTATTGTGTGTTTTTCCCCCAACTACTTAAGGAATAATAATAATTCCATTCTAAGTATGCATTTGAAAAGTTTACATTACAGAAGCATAAAAAAAAGTTGCATGAAAGTTCTCTTTTAAAAAATTGATTAGTAAGTCCTGGCAAAAAAGCTGGGTTTGTATTAAGGAAAATTGCTCATCACACTACAAAGAGTATTTGAAACCAAATTGCAGAGTATTTGCATAATAGTCCTCTTTTTTTTTTTGAGAAAGAAAAGATGAACAAGACACTAATTGTAGGTTTTATTTTTTTCATAAAGGAAATAGCAGATGGCTTTTTTGGAGGGTAGGGGAATAGATAAAGAAAAGGGAATGTGGATTCATTTAGTGTGATGAATGGCATGGAAAGGGAAAAAAAACTCAATATTTTAATCATAGAGTGTTCGGTTTCAATAAATTACTTTGTGTTAAAATTAATTATGTTCTCTGTTACTTATCTCTGTGTGGGGCCTATGGAAGCAATTTTGGAATCTGTGCTGCTGTCGCCAGCAACTGTCTGTGAAGGCCACGGGGATAAATACAACTTGACAGGTACATTATCTGTTTTTATAGAAGTAAAATCATCCCATGTCTTTGTTTCCCTTTTTGCTGTTTAAAAAAGGTGAATTAGAAGTTTTCTCATTGGACAGAGGGGAAGAATGTAACAGGTGCTATACTGAAAACTCTTAACACAGAAACACTTTTCTGTATCATGATGTCTAGTTTGAATAAGGATATTTTGTCAAGCTACCAAGGGACTACCAGGGTACAGACAGAAAGCACTGCAGCACATGTGCCATTCGTCTCAGGCCATATGCTATTTGTATCTCTATTTCATTCTGAAGGGAAGACATTTCTGTACAATATTACAAGTGAACAATGCCATTTTTCACATTAAAGCATCATTTTGCCCAGCCATTAGATATTTATACCTTGCCACTTCAGCTTGTTTTCTCACTCACATTGGTCAGTGGTTTCAGAAAAAGGAAAGGGAAAAAAAAAAAAAAAAACATAAGGCCGCCAGAAAAGCTATGGGCTATTTTGTTGAAAAAATGTTAACTTCAGCCAAACCTTTACTGTTTCATTATGTGTATGGACCATTAATTCGATAACCTCCAGCTGAAAACTGGGAAAATCTTATTGTATCAAGGATAAGGAGATAAAAATGGGTATAGAGGAAAAGAAAAGAGAGATAATTAGTACAGACATAAAAAAGTGCACTTAACACAAGTCAGATTTGTTAATGCTTGAAATACATGCTCACCTTAGAGATAGTGAGGGTGATGGTGAGGCAGAATACAAAGAAGGTAATGATGTACATAATGATGAAAAATGAAATGAAACTATTAGCCAATCTACAGATGGTACCAAGATAATAAAATAAATGAAATTTGCATCTGTTCATTCATGTCTAGAATAAATAATAATTTACTTGTGCAAGTAGGTGAGTAACAGTTGGGCAAGCTAAATTAATATGTTCATCAGTTCAAGTTCATCAAGATTGTTCAGTGGTCATAATATTACCTTCCCATGCATGGCATTATCAAAATTACTTATTGTTTTATTCATTTAAGAAGACAAATAAAGAGACAGTGACAGTGTTCCTATCTACTGGTTTATTTCCCAAATGATACACAGCTGAGGCTGTGCTGAGGCCAAATCTGGGAATCAGGAATACCATTTGAATCTCCCACATGGGTGATTGGAACCCAATTATGAGACATTATAGCTTTCTCCAAGGGTCTGAATTAGCAAGAATCTAGAATGAGGAGCTAGAGCTGGGAATAGAATCCAGGTATTTCAGTACAGGATGCAAACATCTTAACCAATGTACTAAATGCCCACACCTTTGGGTTTCATTTTTGTGTACCTCAAAAATAAAGATTAGAAACATTCTAACCTTTGGAATCATCAGTTTCTCATCTTCATTTTGCAACTTCATCCACTGAGTGTCCATATGTTAGATTTAGTTATTATTTAACTCAGACACACAAGGAAGACCTTTGTTAGGTAGTTTACATGTTGTAGAATTCTATTTTTGATTGTGTTTTCTCCCTCCTCCCAGAGACCTCTTGTTACACGGAATTTCTGTTCATTCTTTCTATATTTTCCTCTCTCTAGCTATATACTCACTTAAATATATCATTGAGGACATGCTCACTATGTGCCTGTGACTATGATTGAGTCAATGTCTACAGTACCATCTCTATCCTTACGGAGTTTTTATTATATTGGAAGAGGCAACCAGTAAACAAGAAAGCCAATAAGTATAAAACATATGGATACATTAACTATAACTTATATTACAGAATGTGGAGAAAACAAATAGGATATCATGATAGGTAATAAAATGGTGGTTTCAGATCTCCTTTAGATAGGGATCACTAGGAAATGTGTCCCAAGATGTGATTTTTGAGAAGTCAAATATGCAAATTCTAGGAAACATCATTCAAGGCTAAGCAAGCTGAACTAGGTTGACATTTGGAAGCTCTGAGAAGGCTCATGTGCCTGTAGTTTCTCCAGGGCTATAATAATATGAGATGAGATTGACAATACATGTAGGGCATTTGGGGTCAAGCCCATGTAGGGTTGTAGAAAGAAGACTGGATTTCTTTCTAAATCTTTTAATTCCTTGTGTCTGTGAGGCTTCATTCACCTTTACCACAGCCTCATCACCAGTGGTTACAACTATAGTGAAGTATTTCTGTCACCAGACCACACACCTGCTCCATTGTTCTTCCATTTTGTCATTATTTGACTAAGGACAACTCTCTCCATCTGCATGCATAAACCTGCATTCATTTAAACATTGTTAAAGGAAGGCACAGATTCATGAGGATATAGCCTAAATCAATTTTGAATCTCCAAAATAATAGTGATTTATTTTAGTTTTTGATTTCTTGCTTTTTTTTAAAAGACGTTATCTATTTATTTCAGAGGTAGAGATACAGAGAGAAGGAGAGACAGAGAGTGAGGTCTCCCACCCACTGGTTCAT